CAGAACTTTGAGGTATATAAAATTAATATCCCTATTTTACAGGTGAGGACGCTAAGGCTCAGACAGGTTAGTGATTTGCTCAAAGTTCCCTGATTGTAAGCCATGTACCCTGGCTCTACCCTATTTCAAGAATTGAAGTGGCTAGTCCTTACCCAACAGGGCAAAGCCTGAGGGTCTTGAGCAGCAAAAAATAAGGAAAGAAAAATTTCCTGACATCCTCATAACAGGCCATCTGTTTGTGGCCAGCTATTAAATACCAGCTGGTGTGGCACTAACAGCTCTGGCACATTTTGGCATTTGACTCCTCCCATTCCCTTCCCACAGAGCTTTGAGAGCAGAAGGCAAGCCACAGACAACCCTCTTCTGAAAGACAACTTTGATAAGGCCAGACTTCTGCATTCTTAGCTTCTAAAATATGATTAGAAAATGCAGTTGATTCAGTTTTTGTTTTTTTTTAAAAAAAGCGTTGCTGTTTGGTAATGGCTCATTTCCCTTTTTGAGTCTCAGCAGACTCAGCAAAATGAAAAACAGTTACCACCACCTCAGCAGCTAATGAGCTCTAGAGAGCAGGTAGGTGTGACCCAGCCTCCTGGGCAGGAGGTGGCCCTGAACCCCACTCTGCTGCTCCCCAATGACAAGCAATGCCTGGGAGGGAGAGAGGGAGACCACTACCTCCAACTAGTCAACTCCAAGCTGTGGGCTGGAGCCGACTTGTCCCTCAGGCCTCACCCTTTCTGACTCCCTCCTCTCTCCCCCGTCCCTCCTTCCTCCTGAATACGGTAAAGGGAACAGGTGGGAAACATGCAATTGAGTAGTAAAGCCACTGGGTGCCAACCTTGGGGGCTGGTGGAGAAGATAAACTTGACACTTAAAATGCAAAGGCTCTGCCCCAAACCTGTAAACATTTTAAAGGAACAATGAGTGAATGTCCACAATGTTTTAGCTTCTTCTGAGCCCTCAACTGCAACAGAGCAGACGGAGCCCTTGTCTCTCTCTCTGGGCCAGGTGTGAGCTCCTGACAAGCCCTCATCAGTCTTTGGTGGTCTAGTACGGTGGGTCTCCAAGTGGGGTCTGAAGATACAGCCTTTTAGGAGCTGGTGATTAGCGCTGATTACATACCAGGCTCGATTCTAAATGTTTTATATGCATCTCCAGTATACCACTTAATGTACACAACCACCAGATCTGAGACTGGTATTACAATCGCCCCCACTGTCAGATAAGAAAACAAGAGTCAGGTTGAAGTTACCCATGGTCATGCAGCTAGAAATGAGAATTAAAACCTAGGCAGTGTGGCTCCAGAACACAGACTCTGGGAACCGTTTGGGACACACCGATTTCTAAAGAGCATCTGTGTATCTAGCCACATGTTCATGATGAAGGCAGGATAGATGTTGGAGTGTCCAGCTGAGGCTTAGGAAAAAAAGTGGAAGTGGCTTGCCTGGAGGTCAAAGTGAGGGGCAGAACTTGGTCTGGGGTCTCGGATTCTGCCCCTTGCTCCCTGCCCCAGGTCAGGCATGTCTGGGCCTGGGCATCAAACAGCAGGCAGGAAGGGGGTGGGTACCAAGTGATGGGTGCAGGGTACAACTTGCCACAGGAAAGGAATTGGGCATTGCAACAGACGGTCCAGGTAGCAGCAAAAAAAACCAAAACAACAACAACAAAAAAAACCCCACACATTTGTTGAAGATCTGCTCTATGCCAAGTACTTACTTGTACATACAATATTGGTACTTATTTAATCCCTGAGAGGCTTCTCATTTTAGACAAGGTGTCAGCAAGACTGGGCCAGCGTGACTCAGATAGGAGGTGGCAGAACCAGAATTCGAAGCTTGGGAGGTATGAAGGCAGCACCAGCCAGAGACAATGACTTCAACTTGAAGCTGCAGTAGGCTTGACCCCAAAGGAGAGCAATGAAGACAGCCATGCTCTCTGCCCCACAAGGTTCCAACCAGCTGACCCGGTGGCCTTGGGCATCCCACTGAGAAGTGCCTCTGACCAGAAGTTAGAGGAAACTCTCAGTTTATACTGTGGGTTTAAAAAGTAGACAGTTATAGGTTTCAGGCAAGGGCTGGCATGGGGGAGGAGGCGATGTGGGACCAGGAGGGCAGGGGCTGGGAACTGGACTGGACTAGGTGCGGCAGGGCTTGGAATCCCAAGATGCTGTGCCTGACAAGGAAGGGCAAAAGTGGGCCTGACGTAGGCCCAGGGTCAGGACCCACGGGGAAAAAAAAACTGTCCAGCTGCACTGGTGAGATCAGCTCAGGTCAGAGCCAGTGCCAGGGTTCTAGGCAATACATTTACTCGGCACAACACTCCAGCATGCCACAGAGTGAGGAATAGGGACAACAGGTATTAAGAACCAAGGAGAAAGTCAGGGCTCAACCAGGGGAGCAAGAGGGCAGGGTGGGCGAGGACTTGAGTTTAGGAAGATCAGGTTTGATTTTTGCCACTTAGTAGTTGAGTGACCCTGGGTAAGTAGTTACTTAACCTCTCTGAGCCTCACTGTATTCATCTACAGACAGGGGAAACCTTGCAGTTAAAGCAGATGGCACAGGGTAGCATTGGGCAGGAGTCTGGGTAGCTGGTGGACAAGCTGCTCGGGACCCTGGGTCTGTGGCCATGAGTAGTCCCCGCCTCCACCCGCTGGTAGGGCCGAAATTCCTTCTGGGATCCTGCCAGAGTCAAAGCTGGACTAGGAACTGGACCAACCTCAGCCAGTAGGTGGAAGGCAGCAGTGACTTGAGTCATGGGCAAAACTGGCACTGACAATGTCACCAAGGAAGTGATGAAGGTAAAATGGATACTAGATGCTTTCACTCAGAAAGCCCACAAAGTTGAGATAAGCTCTGGGCTTTTAATTTAATGTGCACTGGAATAAAATTTCTCAAGTGATTTTTGGGCCTCTTCTACTTGGAGATCTCTATAAAAACATGACATGGCCTCAGAAGCTGCAGTCCTGCAGTAACCTCCTTCCACATCATATCCAAGCTGATTAGGTGGTCCTGAATCTTCTCTCAGGAGCACAGGGTTGAAGATAGGAGAATGAAGGTCTTTGCTAATAACACCCACCCTTGGTTCAAGTCACCTCATGTCCTCATGTACATAGAAACAAGCGTTTTCTTAGAAGTACCAGTCACATCCTTGTTGAAGAGTAAACTAATTAGGCTGCCTCTAGCTTTCTTTGTTAAATCAAAAGAGGAAAATGAAAACATGTATGGTCTGGAAATACACGAGGGTATCCCAAGGAAATACACAAGGGAAATCCCAAGTGGCATAAAAACTGCCACTTGGATTAAATAAGAGAATTAATAGACAAAGGCAACTTTGTTGGGGACCCCCCATCCCCCTACGCCAACACACACACTGGAAAATCTCCTTCTCCTTAGCAAGTTTTGTTTACTCCCCAAAACATATGAGATAGTTCCATAAGCCTGCCTGGGTCACATGAGACTTGAGACCTAGAGCAGCCAAGCCCTATGAGCTACTATGACAGTGACTGGAGGACAAGGACATCTGAACTCCACTGCCTACTCCTCTGCCTGGAGACATATTTTTCTTCTCTTTTTCTACCTCCTTGGGAAGGAAGGATCCTTTGTGAAAGCCCACTAGAATGAGCAACAAAGAACAGAGGGCAAAAACTTGGAGAATCCCAACAGCCAAACAGCTGGCCCCTCCAAAGTCAGAATAGACCTCCTCCCCCAGTGAAGCTGGCACTGCTATAGTCTGTCATCTCAGCTCCCACCAAAGCTGCATCATCCCAGCCAGCTACGTTCTTCCCGCTTCATGCCACAATAGTTTCAAATTATTTCACTAGCAGGGAGGGACACCTCCTCTACTTCTGAAAGCTATTCTTTATCCAGGTATGCTAGACGCCCCTAACTCCTTCTCTGTTAGCTCCAGGGTGGGCCCTGTGAACAAGCTCGGAGACTGCTGTTTTACTTTAAAGCAGACATGCTGCCCAATTGTAAAACACCTGTGGATGAAATGAGTCACCAGCCAGCCAGATGCCCCAAATGATCAGCAGCATTAAAGTCAGTGAAAAAACCAAAGGGGAGGTTTCAGGCTCCTACAAGGGGAGGAAGAGGGAAGAATTTATTTTAAAATGTTTTTTACTTTTTAGGTATCAAGTTTCAAGAAAATCTTTCAAGGGTGTCACCTTCAATTCTCTGGCCAGAGAGAGGGAGCCGGAGCCAGTAGGGAAGGTAAGCTGCTGCCACAGGGTGGGTTACCGACTGCGTCTCAGTTTAATCAGCTGCCTGCAGGACGCCATGGAGCCAGTGCACTTCAGAGTAGTGCATGGATTTATGGCTCTCAGTGTTGCTACTTCTTGGGGGCAAGCTCTTTTCTTTCTGCATGATGCCTGAGAAAGAACTCCTGGTCTGAACTAGTTTCTTTCTTTCCTGGATTCCCAAGCCAGTCAGCTCTCCCAAGAACAGCCTTGCAGAAGCCTTGTGGAACCTGAAGAAATATAAAGGACTACTCATGTCAGATGATCAAGAATGTGGAGAGACCACAGGATCTGAGGATCATTTTTGAAAAATGACAGCTTCAAAATACACAACTACCCAGAACAAACCAGACAAAGCAACACCGAATTCAAAGCTTCAGAGCTCTACTGACGTTAATAACAAATAGACCTATGAAAGCGGAGGGGCTAGCAGCCACACTCTGGATGAGGCCCTGGGCCAGACACCTTCTGCCCCTCCATCCACTTTCCATCCTCTCTGCCTACTCTTTGGCTGTGGTTCAGGCCACAGGGATGGGGAAGAGATAGGAGGAGATGAAGGGAGAGAAGGGAGGGCATTTACCTCAGGCGGTCACAGCAGGCTGGGTGTGCCCCAGCCTCTATCCCGTCAGACCTGGGGTGGAATGCCTCACTATTACTAGTTCTGGGATATAATGCACAACCCCTTAGGATTCCTACACCCATTCTTCAAATATCCTCAGATTACCCATTTTCAGTATGTTCTTTCATGCCAAGACCCTAATACAGACACTTCATTAAATGTCCAGGTGTTTAATATGTCCTTGAACCAATGACCATGTTGTAAACATTGACACTGAAAGACCCAGCCCTGACCCAGGCCATAGACCACTTTAAAGATCCCTGTTTGAAAACCAGGCCTGACACGCTTAGTCTCTGGTATGGGGAGGCTCTCCAGAGTTCAAGTTTAGGGAATGAAGGGTTCCTGGAAAGCCTGTCTTTCTGGGGTTCCCAGTCTGGCTGGTAGATGCTCTCTCACCCACAGAAAGCAGGGGTCTGCATAGGCTTAGGTCTTGAGCCTGAGGACGGGCCATCTCAGGGGGCCTCCAATTCCAGGGAGACCACTCTGGTTAGGGAAGGCTGAGAATTCTCACAGCTTGCTGTTGGCTGAAAACAGCAAAGCTGGATTTTGGTGCGCACCTCTTAAGTGAGTTGAACACTGGCAACATAGTCCCTAAGAGGCTATAAAGAAAGGCGGAATGTAACCATCATCTAGGAAAGTGATTCCTCACTTTGTGACCGTGTAACTGTGTCTTATTCAGGTGTCTTTCGGTCTTCTTCAAAAGTTTCGAGAATGTTCCGTTAAAGTGTCTGGAATGTCTCTGCCTGACATGGGAACAGCACAGGTCTCCAGCTCCTTGGGGAGAGATCAGGCACAGGTGTGCTCTGTTCTCAGCACTGAGCCCAAATCCAGCCCTCCTGGCATGTCCTGCCCATCTCGCCGAGATCCCAAGCATGGCACAGCACTGATGCTCTTGCCATCGCTCCATCCTAGATGAGGTGCACGAGCAGGGCAGAGCAGGCTGAGCCAAATACCAAGCCCAAGCACATGTAAAAAGACATTACCACGCCTGTGGCCTCAGCCAGCTCCCTGGACACAATCTTAGGCCCATAGATGAGGGCCAGGGTGCTAAGGTAGCCATTGCTGAACCCCAGCAGGGAGCTGAACAGTATGGGATAGATGTCAGATAGGAAGACCACTGTCTGCAGGTGGACTCGGGGCTGGTAGTTGCAGAACACAAAAAGCGGGACGAGGCCAGTCCGGAGCAGCACCAGCCCGGGGAGCACCTTACTTCTGGGCCCTGGCACCTGGATCCAGGCTGTGATCTGCCGGCCACAGAGGTCGGCAAAGTTGTACAGGAGGAAGGCAGTGAGGGGAATGAAGAACTTAGTGGTCCACGGTGAGCCTGAGTCCTTGTCGAGGGACACAATGTTGGTAGAGATGGAGGGGAAGATGATGCTGGTGATGAAAAGGAGGTAGATGATGCAGAAGCCCAGGCCAGCCGTCTTCTTCAGGATGGGGCGAAGGGGTGGTGTCGGGGAACAGTTGGACCCAGGAGCCACCAAAGGGGCATTGAGGGAGTCCTGGGGCACCTGCCCTTCACCAGAAAACACGTGGGCTGGCCAAACAGACCTCATGTAGTACCTGCAGGGGGAGAGGACTCATGGTTAGAAGGCCTCAGAAAAAAAACTTGAGATTTCCAGAGATAAGGCGGGGGACCTTTAGGCTCAGCATATAAACCCTGAGCCCCTGATGGCCTGCAGCCCTTCAGATAATGTATGTGAGGTGGCCAGAGGGAAGTCCCCAGCACAGTCTCTGGCCTGCCTGTCCTGGTACTGTCTGAGAGGCTGGACTCCAGCCCGTTGTTCTGTGGTGGTGGCCGTGCCCCGAGCAGGGATGGAGGAGACCAGCTCTTACCACCATATGCTTTGTTTTTGGGGGTGAGAGAGGTAGAGATAAAACAGCATTTAAAAATACAAATTTTTTAAATTACAAAAGTAACACATGCTTGATGCAATTAACCCAAATAATACAGAAGAGAAATGAAAACTCTCACCTCTGGTCTTGCTCTTTAGAGGCAATGATCATTAAAATTCTGGTGTACATTGTTCCATGCATGTGCAAACACCCCGCGCCCCCCTCCCACAATTATATTTCTTAAGCAAAAATGGCATCAAACATACATATATATTATAAAGCTTTCTGCGACAGTGTAATTCCGAAATATATAAATACACAAATATATAAATAATAAACACATAACTGCCTAAACACACGAATAACTATTATACGTAAATGCATACACGTAATGGCCTAAAGAACAATCCTGTGGCCATCTTTTCACACAGGCTCTATGTCTTCCTGTTGCATTGCTGCATAGAGTTTTACTGTATGGATATACAATCTAACTGCTCCCCTACTGATGGATAGGTTAGCTCCAGTTTTTCTCTATGGCAAATAATGGTGCAATATCCTTATACATAAATTCTTGCACACCTGTACTAGTATTTTAGCAGGGCAGATTTCTAGCAGAGGAACTGCTAGATCAAAAGGTTTATACCTTTAAATTTTTGATATTGATGTATTGCTCTCCAAACAGGCAGGACTAATTTATCTCTACTCTATATGACTCACCCACCCTAACTAAAATAACATACCTTTTAATCTCTATGAGAGCACCTGTTTATTTCTTTTTAAAAAACTGACCACAATTTATAATCATTGTGTTAGTTTACTGGTTTATCATGTCTCCTTTAATAGAAGACAGCTCCCTGGGGCAAGAAGCATGTTTGGCTGTTTCCAGCTAAATCTCCAGGCACAGTATAGCCCTTCGAAACATAATTATTGAAAGAACGGATAAGCCTATAAAAGTGATTTTTCCCCTGTATCCTCAATACTGAATATTATCAATCTTTTTCCATTTCTGCTATTCTGACCAGAATAGAAAAGGCTTTGGTCACTTTGCTTTGCTGTGTGACCTTGCCTAAGTCACTCGATCTCTCTGGCCTCAGGTGTCTGAAAGCTAAAAGACACAAGCTGACTGTATGAAGATACCTCAAACAGAAGGGTTGGTGTGGGGGTGGAACAGCAGCTTGGTGATGGCTGGGTTCTGGTTTCAGTCCTGTTCTGCCTCCCTGTGTGACCTTAGGACAGGTACTCCTCACTCTGGACCTCAGTTTCTTCCTCTGTAAAATCGAGGGGTTCTGCAACCATGAGCTTTTGAGATTCCTGCCAGTCTTCCCATTCTAAGAGTCTCCGGATAACAAGTGGGCTGGTGGGAGGATTCCTCCCCAGAGTCACATTTTCATGTGATGCTGAGCAGGGTGTTTCAGCCTTGAACCCTGTCTTGTTTCACAATCACTATTTAGGGAAAAAAATATATTCTTACTTCCCCCTCTACTTAGTGTCAGGTCCTTGCCTCAAGTCTGCTCTGAGAAAGCTCCCCAACAAGTTCCTCTGGTCAAAGCTCTTCCTCATAAGTTCTTCCAAAACTAACCGTCTCATCTCACCCCACAATGGTTACCAGCCTCCAAGACTGCGTGAGGCTCAGTTCCTCCCGGGTGGAACAGGGCAGCCCAGCCCAGCCCTCTTGGTGCAGCAGCACCTATGGGCTCCCTTTTTAAAAAGTAAGATTTTGTCTGAGCAGCTCCAGGAACACAGGTCTCCCTAAGGCTCCATCCTCAGCTGAGTTTCTATAAACCTAACAGTCTTGACCAAAGTGTTAATGAGCAAAGAAGTAGAAGCTTCCAAGGGACAGCATAGCTCTGGGTGTTCTCTCATGTGCTCGGCTAGGAAGGTTTTGGGCCTGCTCAAGTGAGACTGGAATCCAGGATGACCGGTTGTCCTGGTTTGCCTGAGACTGTCCTGGTTTTAGCACTGAAAGCCCTCATCCTGGGAATGCCTTCAGTCTCAGGCAAACAGGGAAGACAGGCCACCCCCCTGGAAACTGACCCTTTTGAAGCACTCTGAAACAGGACATGGGGAAACAGCAGAAAGAGTGCTGGGAACCTCCTGCCCACTGCTCATTCAGTAACTTAAAAATAACTTAATCAGTAGTGACAAGGCCAGGCAGTATATGGGGTGCTGGGGGGACAATGACTCAGCCAGACCCCAGGATTCACAGGGACATTGTCACGGAGCATGACTTGGCAATTTCTGACAGTGGCCTTGAAGGGGCAATTGTGTGCATGTGAGTGACCAAGAGGACAAGGAATGTTCTCTGTTGATACAATAGCCATGTGACCATGTGACACCACACTTTTCGCTGTTACCTAACAGAAGAGTCAGCACAACCTAGTGGACCCAGGGGACCAAGAGCCAAAAAGATGTATGTCTGACCCTTGACTCTGCCTCTTGTTTGCTGTGACCTGGGGGCTAAAGTGACTTCTTGCAGACAGAGTGATGGGCAACCTCATGGGTCTGTAGCTGCCTGGAATACTGGGGAAACACAGTGTCAAGTCACTCAGGCCCCTTTTATCCTCCTGAGGCCACTGAGGCCAGCTGAAGTTGTAATAATCCTCAAACTGGAGAAAGCAACCTGCTCTGGTGGAATGGGGGTTCTGTTGATTACGGAAGTGACTCTCACAGGGACAAGAGGAATAAATGATGAGGTCAGACCCCTGCGGTCACAAGCCAAGGACGTGACATGGTGCGGTAGATAGAGTGTAGGTAGTTCCAGAAACCTAAAAAATCTCTGACTGCAACTCACCAGGTGAGCAACCTGAGCACATCTATTAACTCTCCAAAGCCTCGGTTTCCTCATCTATAAAATGGGAAAATACAGTAACAACTGCACACAGTTGTAATGTATAATAAATGAAAAAAAAAAATGTATACATGAACTGCTTAGCCATTGCACAAGATAGGTTCTTGTAGAAAAGGGCAGAGCCAGGACTCAATCTATCTCCAGCCCTGCCAGCTCACACAATGTGGGACCACAGGCCAACCACTGGCCTTCTGTCTCAGTTTCTTCGCCTGTAATGTGGGAAAAATAATTCCTGCCTTTCTTACATCAAATAAGATAATGGATATGAAAATGCATTGAGAAGAACAAAATGTGAGAAAAAGTCAAGGGTTGTTTTTTAAAGAGCAAGAGGAAGCAAGAAAGAAAAAGGAATGAGAGAGAGAAAGAGAGACTGAGACAAGAAAAGACGTCCCACAGAATAGAGAAAGGCCCGGAGAGATAGTGGTTGAAAACACAGGTGTGAAATCGGGTTCGAATCCTGATGCTGCTGCGGACAGGCTGTGGGACTCCTGCAGGTAACACAACCTGTCTGTGCCAGGTTTTCTCATATATGAATGGTAAATCATAGTGCTGCACCCTGTGAGGAACAGGTGTGTGAGCATAACTGAGTGACAACCTCTCTGGCTAGGACGAGCACAATGCATGGGCAACAGAGGTGCTCAGTGAATGGAGCTATTATTCATCAATCTTATTCCTCAGGTTCCACTTCCACCACCTACCCTCCCTGACCAAAAATCTGCAGACTCCAGTTGCTTGGGGGTGCAGCACAAAGCCGACTTCTCGCATCCGTCAGCCTGGCCAATTTATTGAGTGACTACTATGAGCCAGGCACAGCTCAAGGCACCAGGATATAGCGGTGAACAAAATCCACAGAATTTCTGCCCTCAGGGAGCTCACACTCCAGTGGGCAGATGGGCAGTAAGCAAGAAAACATGCCATCTCATTAAATGATAGAAGAACACCAGCAAATAATATAGAGATATAATCACACATAAAAGAAGAGTGAATTGAGAGTGAGAGGCAGGGCCTCACCTGCTATACTCCAGACGGGGCAGCAGCAGGTAGAGCCCAACACAGAGCCCGAGGAAGACGTCTGCAGTCAGGAAGAAGGCCAGCGCGCTGTCCGTCACGTTACTGGACAATGCCAGGTCCACCAAGGCGGCCAGGGCACTGATGGTGCCACCCATGGCTCCTCCTGTGGACAGCACAGGTCACCAAGGAGCCGGACAGGGTGGGTCCACCTACCCTGTGTCTTGGGCCTGACCCCTCTCTGCTTGGGTTTAAAGGAGCCAAAATAAAAATTCTCCCTGCTGAGAAAAATGCTGCAGTTCTCAAAGTATCCTGGATCCTTGGCAGACATGGAGGGGTTCTAGAGCCGTGAACTCTCTGACTCTAACAGGGTATCAGTTTTCATGTCTCGGGTCCTGGTTCTTTCTGATGGACTTATAAGAAGCTGCTTGCCTGAGGCAGCAAATGGCCTCCAACATATTGCCTGTTTCCTGGTTTCGCCCCCGAACCCTGGCCCTCTCTCTCTCTTTATTGCCCTTCCGGTGGGGTCAGAAATTTTAGGTTCTGGTGTGAGACATCTCAGAGAGCTCCTCTCCCCTGTTCTTGGCCCAAACCATCCACCAACCACACTGAGAAAAAGGCTAAGGGAATGTCCTGGCACAGGCTCTCCTGCTGCCTGCAAACCAGGCGATCCGATCTGGGGAGTCCTTACCGGTTACCAAGACCCTGTGCCTCCCATCCGTGAGCTCACAGAACTTACCTTGCTTCCCATGGCAGCTGTGGCATCATACACATGTGCACACACACGTGTACACATGTACACACACGTGTACACATGTACACACACTCATATACATGCATACTCACATGCGTTCACACAATACACACATACCCTATCACATACATGCTCACAAATCTTACTCTATCACATTCACATATGTACTCACATACACAATCATACATACACCCACTCACACACATACACATTCGTATCCATACACATATGCTATCACACTCTTACACACACATTCACTCATATGCACACAACTGCCCCACCATAAGGAACGTTCTCTGTTGACACAACAGCCATGCGACGATGCGACACCACACCTTTCACTGCTACCTAACAGAGGAGTCAGCACAACTTAGTGGACTCGAGAGCCAAACAGATGTTTGGCTGACCCCTGACTCTGCCCTTTGTTCACTGTGACCTGGGGGCTAAAGTGACTTTTTGCAGACAGAGTTTACTCATCTGTAAAATGGGGATGATGTTTAGAAAGGGCCCGGCACATAGTAGACTTTCAACAAATGCCAGTCCCCTTCTTTGCCGCAATCACACGGTTGCTCTTAGGATAAGGGATGTGTCTTCCTTTTTCCGTTGAACCCTCCCAACCGTGGGTAGTCAACTCGTGTTGGCCCAGGGTCAGGTTACATGTGTTAAATGTGTGAGCAGATCATTTATTCTTCTCTACCTCCATTTATTTGCCTGGGAAATGGGGCTAATATTCATCCTATCATCACAGGAGACTGTAGAGAGGGGGAAGTGGGACAATGAATGGAAAAAGCACTGAACACACAGATACGACCTTCAGTATCAGTATAGTAAGTGCCTGGTGATGGCGATGGATTGACTGACTGGCTGAACGAATGAATTTTGATTCTCAAGGAAGCAAGAAGCGGCTGACTACAAACAGCAGACAGAAAACTGCTCCGTGTGGGCGTGAAGTGCTCTGTCATTGTTTTATCAGGCGGCTCTGACTGGGCACCAGTTTTCTGCCCATTGTTGCATGAGTGGGAGAGGGACAGTTCCAGCCCTCTTCCTCTGTGACACGCATCATCACTGCCTCACTCACACTCTGCCCAACATCGCTATGGCTCTGCAGCAAATGGCCCATGGCCCTGATGGATGATCCTTTCTCTCCAACCTTGTCAACATGAGCTCTATTAGCCAGAGGTTGGGATTTGAGGGGAAGGCAAAGAAATAAAAGTTAGTATAGTACAGACTCAAGAACCAGAACATCTGGATCCAATCCTGGCTCTACCACTTCTGACTGTGTGACCTTCAGAAGTTGCTTAACCTCTCTGTGCCTCCACTTCCTCATCTGTAAAATGGGGATAATACCCACCTCTTAGGGCTGTTATGAAGACTAAAAGGATTAATAGATGTAAAGTGCTCAGAACAGTGTCTGGCACAGAGAAGTGTCACATAAATCTTCTCAGATTCCCACTTAGGTGTTTGGCTATTTCTGTCCTTCCTACATCAAAGCAGCAACAACAGGGTAAACCCTTTGCCAAGAGGCTGCCAACTTCTGAGAAGCTGTAATCCCCACCTCGGCGTTTTGTAAGAACTGGGGTTAAACTCAGTAAGACATTCCCCAGCTGCCCCGAGGAAGAGATCTAACATCACTGCCTATTGATTTTCCTCTCTCTCTTCTCAACTTGTAGAGAATTTACAATATTATCATCAACAACAAACCAGGCCTCCGGGAGCTCATCCTTCATGACTCCCTACTTTTATCTCATCAGTTATGGAAATACATGCAAATGAGGGGCTTAAAAAAACACCAGTACAAAACGAATGAATTGTTTCTCAGATGCCAACACAGGCAGAATTCACAGATGGGCTCCTCTGGATTAAAAAACAACCGGGCTGGTAAGGTGGCACTGGGCCTCTGGGAGAGTGGGACACCTCGGACTTTCCAGGGTGACGGGTACTCACTGGGGGCCGCACACAGCGATGACAATGGCTCAGGGCTCAGGGCAATTAATACAGAAGTGTCAGGACTGGACTTTTGGAAAAGTTCACAGGCCAGTTCCCTTCCCTAGAAGATTTGCAGGTGGCCAGATGAACCAGAAGGGCCCCTTGCCAACATAAAAGATATGTTCAATCACTGGCCTCTGAAGAGGTACCCAGCAAGGCTGATGTGCTGTTGAGAAATATGTCCTCCAGCAGGATGGAGGGAGATGAGGGGATAAGAGCTTCTCTTTGGGAATTAAATCCAGCATTTGGTGGCCATTTCCTTCAGCCTGGGCATGCCCTTTCTTGAAGCATCGCTAGGACATATTGATTGTACGTAGGAAACTTAGCAATGAGTCCATTTTTATTTTATTTTAGGCCCAAGGGTTTCCCAAGATAGAGCCAGAAGCCTAATCCTCTATCAAAAATGGAAAGCAGATTTGAGGTCACATCTGAACTCGACCCATTGACAGTAACTGCTTCCAATGCTGTGTTGAGAAGGATTTAGAGGCTCAGGAGGAAAGATACAGATCTTTTAGTGGTGTCTGGCACTGGCGTGGGAGCAGGAAGGGGATATACTCTTGTCAAGGTATTTGTCATCCCTGTCACATACTACCTGGCATTATTCATTAATAGGCATGCAGCAGATTCTTTGTGAAATTTTTCTCAAGTGGGCAAATGCTCACAGCACTCCTCCCCATGACAGGGATGTGTGGAGATGCTGAACTGAGCACCTGAGCCCCAAGCCTCGCTTTAAGAGGTGGTGGTCTCCCGGGTCAGATTCTTACTGACCCAGCTCCTTTTTATCTTGTTGGGACATCTGCATGAGAGAACAAAACTGCTAAGGGCTGGAAACAGGCTTAGGATCAGCATAAACATGTCAGCTAAAGGGTTTGACCCAAGTCGTGCATCAGCACCCCATAAAATGCCAAAGTTCAGAGTAATGGAGGAGATTGTTTACTAGGCTGTCAGCACCTGAGAAGCTGAGTCTTTGTTCATCTTTGTATCCCTGGCATAACAGCATGTCTTCTATAAAATTAGAAAGGAAAACAAGGCAGATAGAGGGGAGAAAAGAAGAAAAAGAGAAGGGGGAACAGGTAAGGGAAAGGGAAAATGAAGGGAAAAGGGAAAGGGGGAAAAGGAGGGAAAGAAAGGAAAGAATGCTGTTTTAGGAAATACACTTGGTAGCTACTGTGTCTTCCAAAAGTGGCTGCAACTATGTCCTTCCTCCCGCCTGCTCTTCTCACAGTAGGATTTTTATACTCTCCCACTGAGACATATGGGTCTTTGTTCTCTCCTCTTGAACTCAGATGAGCTTATGGCTATGGTGGAAGTGACCCTAAATGGGTAAGTCATAAAAAGAAAATACTTCTGCCTGGGTATCTTGGGATCCGTGCTCTTACTACCCAGATTCCATGCAATGGGGAAGCCCAAGCAGCCATGGTAAGGTCCAGGTGGAGAGGAATCCTGACTCCGGCCCTGGCTGAACTTCCAGCCAACAGCCAGCACCAACGTGCCAGCCAGGCGAGCACACCATCTAGAAAGTTGATTCCCCAGCCCCAGTTGAGCTGTCTCAGCTCCACTGTGTAGAGCAAAGGAGAGCTGTCCCATGAACTGCTGCCCAAATTGCAGATGTGAGCAAAAGAAATACTTTTATTGCTCTAAGTCTTTAAGTTCTGGGATGCTTCGTTACACAGTAACAGATAATGAAAACATACCTAACACTCATTTTCTTTTCGGGAAGGGCTGTCACATGCTCACATCTGGCTCCTTCACATGTCCCCTGGGGTGAAGTGACCTGGTGGGCTGTCTGGACCTCAGCTCTCACCTGATATCAGTGCTTGGGAATTCCTCATAGGGAAGGAGCCTGTCATGCCAAAGACGCTGCTATTAAAGATGGTGGCGGTGCCGCTGAGGATCGCCATGCAGGTGATGGTAACAGCAAAGAAGCCGTGGGTCCAAGAGGAGGTGTCCACCTTCACCAGCACGGTCATCACCACGAAGATGGTCAGCATGATAGTCAGCGAGGCCAGGACACGGACATGAGTCGAAACTCTAGGGCGAGGATGCCAGAAGTGGTTAGAGACCCCTCAGAGCACCATGCCAGGGTGGGGTTGGTGAATGTTCTTAAGAGAAGCGGCAGGTGGTCTCAGGGCTTGGGACTGCAGTCAGGAGGCCTGGGTCTGAATCCTGCCCTTCCTGGCTCACTAGCTGTGTGGCCTTGGATAAGTGACTCAATCGCTCTGGTTTCAGCTTCTGAATCTGTACAACGGGGAGGAGAATGAGTCTGCCCAAAGGGGTGGCTGTGAGGATCTCCAGAGGGAAGGTGTAGAGTGCAAGGAACAGTGTTTGGCTCGGGGTAATGCCCAGGGGCTCTCAAGGCAAGCTCCCCACTCCTCCTGCCACAGGGCTGAGCTACCGCTGGCTTTGCTTCGTGTTTAAACAGAGCAATCACCCACTGGACTTCCTTTCCCCAATACTTAGCAGTGAGAAAAGCAAAGGTAGAATAGAAAAAAAAAATATTCTCATCATCCCCACTGTCATCATAGTAAACACTCAGTACTTAATTTGTGCTAGGTATTCTTCTAAGCATTCTCTATATGCTAAATTGTTAAATTCACATACCAGTTCTACAGATAGGTATTCTTACCCATCTCACACGTACAGATAAGGGAACTGATATCAGATGCTAAGGACCTTGCTCAAGGTCACTGGGCTGTGAACCCAGGAGGTCTGGCTACAGTCTGTGCTCTCAGAATGACACTTCAGTTCCTATTCTGAAATGAAGAAAATAACGTGTGGTCTAGAATAAGAGGCCAGGGCAGAAGGATTCTCCTGTGATGGTCTCAGCTGTCATGGGCAGCAGCTGATGCCAAGCTGGTGCAACCCCAGGCCAGACCCACCCTCTCTATCCCTGCCTCTAGCATGTAAGCCCGACATTCCTTATAGCCCCCAACCTGCCCAGACACCACCCTGCAGGGAGAAGCAGGGAAGGCTGGCTCTCGGAGAAACTGCAAATTTTTATTTCAGGGAGAGAGAACATCATCTAAGGAGGCTGTTTAAACCATCAGATTATACTAAGCTTTAAACCACATTGGACATTAAGTTAATTTTCCTGCTAACCAGTAGATGGGGGCTGGGGGAAAAAACCAGATCAATTATATACAATTTTGGAGGGGCGGGGGTTGGGAGGAGAACAAAAAAAAAAATTGAAAGGTAGAAAAAAATACATGTGACCATATAAATAGGTGTGAAATGATGAGCATGAAAAACAAGAAAGGATTTTTTCAAAGTGTTTTTGTGGCCACAGGCTAATGTGAGTTTCCTTCTGATCTAGCTGAAGGAAGCAGGTGCTGCCTCTGGTTACTAAGGGGACAGAAGGAAGCCGGAGCAGGTTCAAGGTTGTGGTGTGAGTCTGAGGAGAGCTGGGACCAGAACACAGGTCTGCTGAGCCCCAGCCCACGGCTGTCTGCTAACATGAGTCCTCTCTGGCTTGTTCATTCCAGAAGCGAGTATTGGGCAACTAGTGTATGTCAAGCACCATTCTGGATGCCCGGGGCACAGGACACACAAGGAACAAGTATTTTGATCTGGTATGCAATGTGCTTTTATCAAGAGGGCCATAGGGCATCCTGGGAACATCCAAGGGGCCCAAAATCCATCCTGGGAGTTGCATAGGCTTTTTGGAGGTGGTACTTAAGCTGGATGTAAGATGTGTCCGGATGTGAGCGAGAGCGTGGCACATTCAGGGAACTGAAATGGAGTCTGGCTGCGAGTGAGACTGGGAGCAGAGGAGGCTGGAGAGACATGGAGCTCCACCCTAGAGGGCCCTGTTAGCCTGATCAATGACAGGACTTGATCCTCAGGGTAGGGCACGGAATGGATGGTAGTCTTTGCCAGCATCCCTCCCCACAAGAACACTCCTTCTTCCACGCCGAGTTGTCCTGGGGAGGTGGCTGACTGGCCACAAATGATGTTCATATGACCCAGTCTGGAGTGATAAGCATATCCCATGCCACTAGCCACTGGATGGGGTTAGGGATTAGCAAAGGAGCCAGGCAGAGCCAGTCAGTGCTCCTTGAGACTGGAAGGTGGAGAGAAGCTCTTTCTCTGCTGCGACTGTGTTGGGGCTGCTAGCTGTCACCTGACCAGCCGCACAGGAAGAGGCCACATCCCAGATGAAGCCAAGTGGACAGATACGGAGCCTGGAGACGGCGCATGAGCGGGAGAGCCTTGTGGACTTGTGTGATCCCCTAGATCCAACAGTGCCTAGAGGCAGACTTTAAACTTTCCAGGTAAAGAATGAGAAAATCCTTTTTGCATCTCTATTGTTTGTTACCAAGAGTGCCGACTAACATAATCAGGGTTTCCAGCTGCGGAGCTACAAGCTATGGGTGCCCTTCCCATGTGGTCTTCCTCTTATTAGGAATCAGTGTACAAGTGACAGGCAATTAACACCTCCTAAAAGCAACCTTCAACCAATGCTAGGGAAGTGGGTAGATAAATACCCCAGCTCCCTCTCCCTCAGGTGCGTGTGCCACACTGACTCCCAGAGTTCCTCTGGCAGGTCAAGCTCTGTCGCCCTCTGTGGGAACTGGCTTAAAGAGGCATTCTTTATCGGCTGCCTTCCCTGCCTCACCTCTCTTCTTCACTCTCCCACCTTCGCCCCCCAAACAAACTACTTGCACTTGAATCCTTGTTCCAGTGTCTGTTTCTGGGGAACTCTCCACTAAGACACATTTTTCCCAGGGTCGGCAGGGGCCTAGTGGATGGAGCACCCGAACCACTGAGGACCCAGAGTATCAATGTAAGTCACACCAGGTGCCCTGGAGGCTGGTGGTCAGGCCTTACCTCTGCGCAGCACCTGAACCACTGAGGACCCAGAGTATCAATGTAAGTGCACACCAGGTACCCTGGAGGCTGGTGGTCAGGCCTTACCTCTGCGCAGGGTGATCTTACATACTCAGCCTCCACACAGTGCCTCCCTCCCAGAAGGTGGAGCTGCCCAACACATCCCCAAAATAAGAGCCAGCAGGGGCACAATGCCTGAGTCAGAAGACCAGAGCCCGTTCCAGCTCACACCAACTCACTGTGTGACCCCAGGCAAATATCCACCCTTTCTGGGCCTCAGTTTCCTTATTTTGAAAAAGACGAGACTGGACAAGATAATGTTCTGGTCC